CTGACAAACTTTGTTGAATCCTGCACAATTGGTTGCAGGCCGTGCACCTCTTTGGTATAGGCACAGACAAGCTTTAGATTCCTGTCTGTCACTCCATAGGATTGTCCCATTCACTACGAAAGAGAAAGCTAGCCAGTGGAAGGACTTCTGTGCTCTGCTTGGATGGGGCAGAGTCTCGGGTGGTGCAGACAAGCTTTATTCAGCCATTCCCTAGGAGAGTCTGGTTTCTGAGTCCCGCAGTAATGGCCGCTGGCTTCACATACCTCCGAGAGATCTCTGCCCACTGCCTGACAGTCTGGCCTCTCCCTGTCTGGGGCCGTCTATCAGCACAATAGGGTGGTTCTGTTTTCCTCTCACACAAGAAAGCCAGCCGCGCATTAGCTGTCCGCCCTCTCCACGCGCTGGGAGTATGCCAGCAGGGAACTCGGCCCACCCTCTCCGCGCTCCACAAGCAAGCCAGCAGCAATGTCGGGCGGCCGCCTTTTCGTCAGCACAGTTCTCCGTACCGTCACAGTTCCTGAGGTTCAGCGTGCCTTCTCTCTCCTTCCCAGATGGTAGAGCCTCCTCTCAGCCAGCCGTCCGGTGCTTCAGGGTGATGTTTCCCGTTTTTCAGTTCTAAATTAAAATTTGTTGTGGTAGGCTGCATTCGGGTGTCTACCCTATGCTGCCATCTTGGTTTCTCCCCATTTTAATTATTTTAAATTTTATTTGCCCTATTACACTATTTTTTTCCCCCTAAGCCACATAAGTGTTTTAGAAATAAACAAGGTATATTTTTAAAACATGCCAAATATATTGACCTTTTCAATAGTGTACAACGTCTTCCCCACCAGACAGTAAGCTCCAAAAGGATTTGTCTTGTTCACCCCTAATGCTTAACATGTTGTGTGGCACAAAATAGACATCTGGTAAGTTTGTCCAACAAATTAATGTTGATGACTCCCTCTTGCAAATTTTCTCATCCCTGGTTTTTGTTAGTACAATTCTATACTAGTTTTGCTTTTACTATTGTGGCCTCTTGTTTCTCTAAAGTTGTCAGTTTTTCCTTGCCTCCAAATTTCAGGGTTTTGTTCATTTTCAGCTCTTTTCACTCTGTGCATCCCTGGATAACCTAATCTAAACCCAGGTTCCAATTATTACTTGTATGTTGAAAACTCACAAACCTGTACTCCAGCTTAGCCCTAGAGTCTGCATCCCAGACATATATGTTCAAATGAGTCTGGGCTTCATTTGGATGTATGTGTTAACTTCTGACAGCACAGCCTAAGCAAACTCATTTCCCCCCCTAAATCTGCTCTGACTTCAGTATTTTCTGTGGTCACCAATGATACCTCCATCTCCTGGGACTCCTAGACTCCAGGAATTCTAGACTCTTAATTTATCTCCAAATTCAATCAGCTACCCTGATTGTTTTAGAGATTCAAATCCCCAAAATATTTGGACTCTTGAGAAGAGACTTGAAATATTTAGACACAAGGACATTTAGCAAAGCAATCATTCATAATAGCATGCAAGTGGAATAGTCCAAATAGAAAGATGGATAAGTAAAGGCACATAGTATCTCTTGGAGTTTTTAACATGGAAAATATGAGAGAAATAGTGTACATTATTTCATCAGATTTTATTTATCGACAAAAAGGGGGGGGCCTTCTTTCTGGTAGTTGTATTGTTAGTAACTTATTAGTAAATTAGTAATAAGTTCCATCCTCATAGGGGGCTTTGCATCAACTCCTCTGCCTGTGGAATGTTTTTTAAGTTTTATTTATTGATTGATTTTAAAGAAAGGGAAGGAGGGGGAGAGAAAGAGAGAGGGAGGGAGAGATTGAGATCAATTTGTTGTTCCATTTGTTTATACATTCTTAGTTGCTTCTTGTATGTGTCCTGACCAGGAATCAAACCCACAAACTTGGTGTATCACAATGCAATTGAGCTACCCGGCCAGGACTGTCTGTGGAATGTTTTCCCCACCCTTTGCCTATTCATACTTCAGGGCTCATTTAGCCTAAATATTATCTCCTCAGGAAGGCCTCCCTTTTCCTTTTATCTAGAAACCTTAAACATGTACTTTTGAATATAATGGACATATTTTCATAGCACCTTGTACTTTTCATTCATGGTACTTATCAGTTTGAATCTATGTATCTGTGTTATTTCTGAAATGTCAGTCAGCTGCCCCCCCTACATTACAGGTTCTGTAAGAGCAGGGCCTATGCTTGCTCTGTTCACTGTATCTCCAGCACCTACTATAGTTTCTGGCATTATTTATTGAAAAAATAAATGAATGAACTACATCAGTGATTTTCTAACCATTTTTTTTTATGAAAGAGAATCATTTAAAAAATATATATTTTATTGATTTTTTACAGAGAGAAAGGGAGAGGGATAGAGAGCTAGAAACATCAATGAGAGAGAAACATCGACCAGCTGCCTCTTGCACACCCCCTACCAGGGATGTGCCCGCAACCACTGTACATGCCCTTGACGGGAACCGAACCTGGGACCTTTCAGTCCGCAGACTGACGCTCTACCACAGCCAAACCGGTTTCGGCTCTAACCATGTTTTGAGGCAGTGCCTTATGTGCCATGATAAGCACTGATGGAAATGTCAGCAGTTGCCCATTCCCATGTCATTTTTTATTTGGGTTACGTACTAGATTCTGGTGTAAGATTGCATTTTTAAACAGAATGCCAGTGCTTCAGAAAATATCATACAAATTCCGGAATCTGATGATCTTAAGTCTCTTCCATCTTCAAAATTCTGTGAACATAGATGAAAATAAGAAAGGCCACATAGATATACTTTGAGACTGGCCTTCACTAGATTGGCAATGGTTCATTTTGCCAAGAACAAGCAAGCTCCTCTTTGCCTCTCTTAGATAACTGAAGATCTTGGGGTCTCTTAACCCCTTCTATATTCATCAAGGACCTATGCCCAGGCCTACAGTTTTATCTCCTTTACTACCTTCTTTACCATCAATGAACTGGTCTTTCCCCCTCACCCCTTTAGGACTTGCTGCAAAGACCCTAGGTGCAGTCACTTGGGCTACTTTGTAGTTCCTCTCTCATATTCCCACACACTCTCCCTCAGCTGAGAATGGTCTTTTTTCTCTGCTCTTCAAAGTTATGCTGCAACTCAAATGTCAACCCTTATAAAAAGCCTTTCCCAAGCCTTCCTGTTCCCACCATACTTATTTATACTTTTCTATATAGAACTTTCTGCAGTCCAAACATGGGCAAATATCTTAACCTCTCTAAGGCTATTTTCTCATCAGAAAAATGTGAATAATGTCACAGATTAGGTTCCCCAGGAAGCAGACTTGACTAGTGAGCAGATTTATTAGGAAAGGCTCTTGGGGTCATCATGGGTGAGGAAGGGAAGGGAAGAATCGGGCAGAGGGAGAAGAGCTGGGATGCAGTCTTAATGGTATACTTCGGCTGTTACAGGTTGTTCTGGAGATGGGATGATCCATAACTATCTAAAGTTGGGATGAGAAGGCTGGGCTTCCAACAATCCTGAGATAGATACTATTTGCAGCCCTGAGATGATTAGTCATCGGATGTGGCCCCACTGGGAGGGGCGACTATGCAATACCAGAAGGGGGCTGACAGCTGATGGCTGTGGGCAACACTCTTGGCTGCTGGGGTAACAAGCCCTTCATTCTTTTTAAAAAAAATATATTTTATTGATTTTTTACAGAGAGGAAGAGAGAGGGACAGAGAGCTAGAAACATCAATGAGAGAGAATCATTGATCAGCTGCCTCTTTCACACACCCCACTGGGGATGTGCCTGCAACCAAGGTACATGCCCTTGACCGGAATCAAACCTGGGACCTTTCAGTCTGCAGGCTGACGCTCTATCCACTGAGCCAAAACGGTTTTGGCAAGCCCTTCATTCTTGAAGGGGATCTAAGAAGTATATTTCAGTGCCCACCACTAATGGTATCTATGTCAGACTGTTGCAACTCTAAAATAGGATACAGTATAAAAAGTACATTAGCATATTGCCAGACATGGGACTCAAGGTGTTAGGATTATTATAAATAGGACTTGGCTCTATCATCATTATAGAGCAAGGTGGAAAAGCTTTATTTATTTTTTGTCCATTAGGTTCAATAAGGCCTCAATAATGTGTTAATATAAAAATATAATGGTCACTGTGTCTTAAAGATGTTTTGGGTTGAACTCTCAACCAAACAAATACAAAAACCCATTTCCACCACTTAATAACTTTTTTTTTTAGCAAAATAAAAAGAGGTACGTATATCTATTATACTTGCCTGGAAAAAAAGTTCCAAAGCCAAAAACAAAAGCAATGCAGCGTTACTTGACAACTGCAGAAGAGCTTCCGTTAAAATGGCTTCTACCACTGGATTCTATATTTTTGGGATATAATCTTCAAACCACAGACAAGGAAGGAGATTTAGCTCAGCTTTTTTTCACAGCTCATAAACGGTAAGGCTGTCAATGGAACGATCAACCCAAAATACTTATCTCCAGTAGTGTGTGTTGGGCTTTATTTTCCTGCATGCTCAATATAGCTTTGTTTTCATAGGCTGATTACTGAACACTGTTTTGTGACAAAACAGAGGTCTGGGATAAAGCAATGAGCAGGAGTTACAAGTCCCTGGCTGTAAGGATCTCTCACTTTCTTGGTAGTAGGTAATCGACACATAAGGTCTCCAAAGTTACAACTCAGGAAGAAATGGCGCAAGTGTAACTCTTGCGACCCGGGGAAGTCTCAGATGTTGACCCTTGAGAAGGGACCTGAAATATGCATTGAACATCCAGGAGTTAAAAGAAATCTGGAGGACGTGTTCTGTTCTTGCCTGAGGGAACAGCAGCGCCAAGTCCTGAAGTGGACTGAGCCTGCGTGTTGTAGGAACAGGGGGAGAGCTAGAGGGGAGAGTGAGGGGACCGACGTGGGTGGGGATGGATGAGCATCTGTAATATACAGAGGTATCTGCCTGGCCCGAGACCGCACTGCTCAGGGAGCTAAGCAAGGTCACACAGGGCTGGATGAAGCGCATTTCCAACAGGGGAGCTACGGAGCCGCCTTTCCTGCCAGGGTAGGGCCACGTGTTACCACCGCCAGGCATGGACTGGGTCCTGCCCTCGGACCAGCCCTCGCCCCGGGGCGGGGGCGGGGGCGGGGGCGGGGGCGGGCCTGGGCGCCCCCGGCCCGCGGGCGCTGCAGAGGCTGCAGTGACCAGCAGGCGGTGCAGTGAGCGCGCCCGCAGCCACCGCCGCCAGCCAGGCCCAGCGACGAGGAGAAAGGAGGGGACCGGAAGGAGCCGCTGGTGCTGCGGGAAGTGGCAAGAGCGGGAGGCGGGGACCCACCTGGAAGCGCCGCGGCCCCGCTGTCGAGCTTCCTGCGCGGCGGCGGCGGCGGCGGCGGCGCGGCGACGGCCACCCGGGCAAGTGCAGTGGCGGGGGTGGAGAGCGGCCACGGCGGCGGCCCCTCCCCGAGTGGCCCGCGGAGACCGGCTCCGCGAGGAAGGTGAGAGGCGCCCGGGGCACGTGGTGAGGGCCAGACGCGGGGGAGGGGAAGTGGGCGAGGAAGAGGGAACCCGGGATTCATTCGGCTCAGGGACCCGGATTTGGAGCAGAGCGCCGGGAGAGGGTGGCCTGGAGGCGGCGGCGGCGGCGGCGGCGACGGCGGCGGCGAAGCCCCCACGTGGGGCGGGGGGTGCGCGCGCACGTGTGCGCGTGCGAAAGGGGGCCGGGGAGGACGGCGGGCACGCGCGCACGCGCGCTCCGTTGCGGCCCACGTGACGGGCACGCTGAGCACCCTGTTCCACGTGACAGGCTGGCTGCGCTGGAGGGATGCTGTGTCTGTAGTATTAACTGGTCACCAAGGGATTTTTAGGGTTGTTTGCCACTTCTCTTTTACACCAGAGGAAATAGGGTGAGAAATGTCAGGCGGATAAGACTTCCTGCCCTTTATCTGTTGTATACACATTCTTACAGTCGGTTAAAGGAAACACTTTTTTAACTGTCGAACTACAGACTTTCCTAGACCGCCATGTTCTTCTAGAGAGGAGAAACTCGCGAGATGCTAGTGGGTTCGTATCGCGAGAACTCTCGATTCTCGCGGGACTTTGTTGGCAGAGCAGTTGTCCTGGATGGCGGAGCCTTGGGTTCCCGGGGCCTGGGACCTGCAACTCTTTCCACAAGGCAAGTTGCTAGGGAAGGGGCCGGGAGCGAGTGCCTCTAGGTGCCGGGAGACGTGCTGTGTCAGCTTCCTCTGGTCTGGAGAGGGAGTACCTTGGCCCCATGGAGGCGGTGCGGTCCGCTCCTCACCCCCCTGCGGGCGCTCGGCCACCTGCACCGCGCGTCCCGCACCCGGGCTCCCCCTGCCCCGCGCAGCGAGAGTGCCACCCCCCCGTCCCAGCGCACCGCAAGGCTGCAGCCGCGCTCGTGCAGGCGTGATGATTCCATTGGATACTGTTACTCCTACTTCCAAACGTTCTTGTTAGTTTTGCTCCTTGTTGCCATTTTCTAAAGAATTCCAGACCTGTTAACCATTCTGTCGCTTGTGCCTGCGGCGGCGCCTTTCTGCACCGGCCGCTCTCAGACGCTACACACAGAGCGCCTTTGATTTCTTCTTTCTGGGCATCACTTACGCCTATTGATGTGGGCATTGGTGATTCCTCACCACTTTATCTTTGTGTTTACAGTGACTTTTGGCAGTGTTTGGAGAGACCCTTTATGTCTCTGGCAGTGCCTGATAGCAGAATAAACTTGTCCTTTTAATCTTTTGGACGTACGTGCCTAGTTACTCATAATTACCGATGAGATTTTGATTACCGTGTTATGAGGTTGCCATCTTTGATGTTCAGGGAGGGTTGTTTTAGGTTACATACTTAAAGTAATAGTGGAATGCTTTAAGTCAAGTTTTTAATTAACTCCTTTTCATAGGCTTGGTATCAGAGTTTGAGTTCAGTTTTTCTTGAGTGAGTTAAGTCATCAAATTGATTTTTCTCCAACTCGAGTGGCTTATCAAAAATGAAAATAACAGTAGACATTTTTCATATTCTTGCGCATCCTTTGGATTTACTGAGTATTCTTAGTGGGGAGTTAATTACAAAACTAACCAGATATCTAGGTAATTCATTCGCATATATAGTTTAAGCCACAAAAGTGCTATTTGCGTCTGCACTTAAAACAGAGAAGGCTCCCTGTTACACCACCAGGTTGCCTTCCCCAGTTCTAAGTCTCTGTGACCACTCCTAGAGGTAGTTGGGCCATTATTTCAGCTGTTTTCCATGTAGTAGTTTGTTTTCTTAAGGAAACATAGGGGTGGTGTTTTAAGATACACTATCACAGCATTAGCAATCAGTACAATTTTTCCTACTTAGCTTTTATTTAGTGATATATGCCTATTGTTTTGACTCATGCATTCTTGCTTAAAAAAATACATTGTTTTGTTTGTACAGATTTAGGGTGGTGTAATTTTGTGGAAGTATCTTAAATGATAGCATTATTTTTTTGTGTGCTAGAGATTTAGTATGCTAGGAGCTTTGTAAAAATAAAGTTCATTGAAAATAGGACTTAAAGGAAAAATATTTTATGACTTGGGATCTATATTTGTATACTTAATATTTGAATTATATACTTAACCCTTACATGCATGTTTATATTTTATAATACTTATATATTCTAAACTATAAGATAAGTATGTGTTTAGTTTTCTAGAAGTTTTACTAGTAGAAGTTATCAGCTCAATTCAAGTTATAGTTCTGACCATGAAATATAGTGAACTTAACAGAAGAATGGTTGATATATCAGTAGGGAATATAAATATACATATACTTAAAAGTTGTATGGAGCATTTTGCCATTGTTGCTTTTTGTATTTTTCCTCCCAAATTTACCAGCAATGTTATTTATTACACCTGTCACATAAAAAGAAAAGTCTTGTTCTTGGGTAGTGTGGTTTTTCAATTGTAATAATTTAGGAATATTGGTTATAGTTATTAAAAGTTGTATTTGAGAGAGGTGTGATGTGGGAAAAAGGAAAAGTAGACATGGGAATATATAGGTTGATACTGAAATGGAATTGTAGAAGTTGCAGACTGAAGAGGATGGTAGAAGGTTGACAGCCATGGTTCAAGAATAGACAGGCTCATGTTGGTTGTTGCAGGGCAAGCTGGGTTGACCAGAATTTGGAATCAGTATTTGAGGTAATTTTTTTTTCCTTAAATAATTTTTCAAATAGTTTTCAATCCTTTCCCCAAATTGCTTGATAGCTATCACCTGTCATAAAAAGTCAGCAACTGATGTTGATGTTTAATTGAAGTTACATTTAGGTGTATAACCCTCTTGTTAAATAACAATTGTTGGATAGATTTTATTTTATTTTATTTTATTTTTTTGATTTTATTATTTTTTAAAGGAAATTGTTGCCGTTGGCCAGGTTGCTCAGTTGGAGGGGCCTACCATACTCCCAGGGTTTTGAGTTCGATCTGGTCAGGCCACATGCAAGAATCAACCAATGAATGCATAAAATAAGCGGAGCCATAAATAAATCTGTTTCCCTCCTTACCACTCACCTCACTTTCCCTCCCTCCCTTCATCTCTCCTTTCCCTTCCCCGCATTTTCCCTCTATCCTCTTTCCCCTTGTCTTTCTCTCTAAAAATCAATACAAAAATAAAAGTAGGAAATTGTGAAAATTACAATGGATTCAAAGGTCACAACTATAATGGCTTTTGCAAAGATGTCTACAAAATTTTGCATAGTAATTGGGTCTTTGGTAGTTCCTCACAATAATATATGTTCCTTACAACAACTTTGTTTTATAAACTGTTTTTGTGGTGGGTCTTGGGAATTACCAGTTTTGCAAATTGGTACAGACTAAATTATCTAAGGTACTGGGAAGAAACTTGCTGGGAAAATCCAAGGAAGAGGAGAAATGTAACTTTTATGATTTGAATGTGCTTGAGTAAACTTAATCAAGACGTTTTATTTTCCTTTTTGTCAGTTACTTCGGTAGAAGTGATCTATGAGCTAATGAACTTCAGTAATCAGAGATAATGAGTAACTGATAATATAATACTGATTTGTCCTCACTTGGGTTTTTTCCCCAAGGTCTAATACAATGTTAATTTCTATACACCTGTAACATTGTAAACTATACATTGTAATACCTATGTTACCTATTAATTATACCAAGACTGTAAGTTTTATTTCTTACCTTTTGAATCAGTGTCCAAGAGAGATTTCAGTGTTCAAGAGAGATTACATATTGATCAATAACTTCAATAAAAGTACATTGCAGCCCTGGCCAGTGTGCTCAGTTGGTTGAGTGTTGTCCTGTATCAGTAAATATTTCTCAAATTCCTAAGCCTCTACTTCTAAAACCATGGAATATAGACTTTACTATTTTATTCAAACTTGTTCTTCTCACCTCTTTCTGTTTTTCTTTTTAGCAGTTCTTTCTAATTTATGTAGGTAATTTTGCTTTGTCAGAGACAAGTGAGTTGAGTAACTTTTCCTGAGGAGACTTAAACTATGTATTTTATTATTGATGACTTTTTTTTTTTTAAATTCCAGTATATTTACTTATTAGTAATTTAAGGACATTTTGAGTGCTAGTGATGCCAGCCACTATAAACAGGGATCTTGAGCCTTCAAAATAACTAACCAAGTAAAATAAACCTATGGACTTTATTCAGAAACTACTAATTGCAGTAAACGACTTTAAAGTTTGCAGCCCTAACAGGGTTGGTTATCTGATTTTTTTAGCTCACAGGTTATCCACAGAATTGGCCATTGGAGTTAGGCACACTGACAAGCTGAACTGTCTGTCATCTAATTTCAAGGGAGAAGGAAGAAGAGCTATTAAAAAAGAAGATGGAACTATAGAAGTTAATAGTATTTTAAAGCTATTACCTGGAGACATACAGTCATAAAATAATTAATTTCTGAATGAGTCCTATATTGTAGAGATGTATATAGTACATGATGGTCTTAGTGATGACATAAATCATATATAAACTTTTATTTCATATATTGTGTTTAAGGAAATAAATTGATGTCTATTAAAAAGATTGTTATAAGAGTAACTTTTTTCAGAGCTTTGTTAATGCACTTTAGTTTTCTAGAAAATTCATACAACTCATATGATACCAAATAAAAATGGTACTGTTATGTATGGAATTTCCTTTGTTTAATTTTATTGCCTTTGTCTATTTCCTTAGTTAATATCAAGGGATTATCTTTCAAATAAGGTTCATTCTACTTAATATTTGATACTAATAGTGATTTACCAATTGTCTAAAGAACATTTGTTGAAGGAATTTTCAAAACAGATGATTAGAATTAGTAAATGTTCTTTCTGCATTATTCAGTTATATAGTTTTGAGCCCTTATATTGAGTCTTTGTCCTCAGCATACTGACTGTCCCAAGATGAGAAATGTTTCATATTGTTGATTTGCTTGCTTTCTTAATTTCTTTTAATACGTTAAGTTAAACCTCATGCCTCATGGTAGAATGATGGTAGGTAGTGTTTGATTTAGCTATAAAGGGTGTGTATTTTAATCATTTTAATGGCTGGTTTGAGAATTTTATTTTATTTTTAATTTTTAATTTATTTTTTTGAGAATTTTAAATAATGGGAAATAATATAGCTGTATTAACATTTTGATAGGCTTCTTCCAGTATTTCAAATATATATGTTTTACATTATTATAGCTAAAACATTTAATTTCATGCCCAGTTTTTTAACCTAGTGTTGGATAACATTTTCCCATTTTCACAATGAGTCTTCATAATTATTATAGTAAATGGCTGTATAATGTTCCATGTGTAGATGAATCATTTCTCCTGTTCTAACATTTTGCATAAATAAATAACACTGAAGAATGTTTATACATGTTTCCTATATAAGTATTACTGTCCAATATATTGCCAGAAATGATTTTTAGCTCACATTTTATAGGCTCTTGCACCGATTGTAATATTTATAAAAAGTATCAATTTATGTTTATATTGAAGTGGCTGTTGCTCTGTACCTAACAATAAATATTATTTATAGAAACTAAATAGGATGTAAGTCAGACCACTTTTTTTCTTACATTACTACTGAGGAAAAACATTACTTAATGATTAATAGATGTAATCATTTTATGAATTTTTAAGAAAAGTAATTTTTAAATTAATGTAAACATACCTTTTGACCTAATTTTGTATTACTAACCTATGAAATTCCTCCTCCAGAAATTAATAAAAAATAAAAATATGATTTAATGCTGTTTCTTTAGTTTTTCTAAGTTAGATTTAAATAAATTTAAGTTTTTAACCTCATCTGGCATTGGTGTGAAGTGAGAATCTAAATGTTTTCCTCCAAATTGATAATTGTCTAACTCTATTAAATAATCCTTTATGTTCTCATTGCTTTATGTTTCATTTTTACATTTTAAATGTTTGTTTTATTCAAAACTTTATAAAAATAATAATAATGTTTTTTAAATGATTATTTAACATGTTTAATATAATTTGCCCTGGTCTCTTATTGTTTGTTTTCTGATTGATTTTTAAGAGCATTTTATAGAATAATAAAGCTCATTCTGTACAAAACAATGTTTTATAAGTTCTTTTCTTATTAGCCAAAATTTTTGAAATGATTCTGTTTTCATACTCCAGAATTAAATAGAATTCAATGAAGCGGTTTCTCCTTTCTTGAACACATAATATATGAAACTACTTTAAGAGTTCAGTACTAGAGGCTATAAGAGAAAAACTACTTTGGTAGATTTTTGTAGAATTAGAGAAATAAAATTCTAAGATCAGTAATTTAGGATCTGTGCTTAAGGTATTTTCTTTACTAAATATAGTAATAGACAAGTTGACATCCTAGGCTTCTAATATATTTAATGACAAAGTGCTGATTGGTAGTTCTAGGACTCAAAGTTATAGAATCACATTATCTTACTTTAGCTGTTAAGACCAGTGTGGTGCATTTACTGTAATCTAATGAAGAGTAAGAGAATTTCAGATGACCATCAGTGAGGACATCCATGTCAAGGAGGGCATTTTTAATATTAAAAGTTCTTATTGTTTAGAAAGGAGTGGTCTTTTTTTCTTTTATGAAAAAATTATTCAAGATCTTAAAATAATCATTCTGAAAAGATATTTGCATTTACTTACATTTTAAACTGTGATGGCTCCAAAGCTGCTATTTTAACATTTTCTGCTATTTACAGATTAGTGTGATTGCATTAATGTTAGGAAGAAAAATTAGATTAATTTTGAGTGATAAACCATAGTAAATATTGGGAAAGGTGTGTTTCTTGTGTTTGGGGTCACATAAAGAGAATTGCAGGTGAAGGGCTTGATGTGATGACATTTTCTACCTGGGTTCGGGATGAGGTTTAAAGGGATTGGAACATAATCTATACATTTTATTTCTATTGGAACTCAGGTACCCCATAAAGGGATGAGTTGATTGGTAAATTGGCACAGAAATGGTCTAGGAAATAGCAGGTGCTAATTTCTGGCTCTTATTTATATTCTTTACTAGTTTTTTTTTTTTAAATCAGAAATTTAAGGAAAACATCTGCTTTTTCAAATACATTTCCCATTAGTATGCAGGTTAATGTATTTCATAAGAAAAGTGAAATAATGCTCTATTTGGCTTGGCTGTATTATAGAGGGAGATTCCAAGATACCTTCCTGTGTGTGGTTTGTGAGATTTAGCTACTGATAGCCTTTGAGGAACTTGAATACTTCTCTACATTAACTCTCTACTGCACTCCCAAACCTGTAATTCTTTTTTTTAATATATTTTATTGATTTTGTACAGAGAGGAAGGGAGAGAGATAGTTAGAAACATCCATGAGAGAGAGTCATCGATCTGGGGATATGCCCGCAACCAAGGTACATGCCCTTGACCAGAATCGAACCCGGGTCCCTTCAGTCCCCAAGCCGACGCTCTATCCATTGAGCCAAACCAGTTTCGGCCCAAACCTGTAATTCTTAATCTTAACTCTCTCCACTGAATAGAATTTTAAAATGTTTTTGCAGTAATGTTTTATTTCCTGAGAGGGAAATTTCCTTTCCCCCTCTTCCCTGCTTAAAAAAAAAAAAAAGTAAATGTGATTAAAGCATAATACACACAGAAAGTTCCCATAAGGCTACAGTTCTGTGAATTTTCACTATGTGAACACACTTGCAAGAAGTTGGACATTATACAAAGCCCAGAAACTGTCTTGAGCCCTATTTTGGCCATGAAAACTCCCCTCTCATGAGAAACTACTATTTTGATGTCTGGTACCATAGAATAATTTTATGTGCTTTTGAACTTTAATTTCCTTTATAAACATGACTGCATCTTTATCTTGTTGTGATGTGAGTGACCTGAGAAATCAATCCTAGAACTCAATATTTATACCTGGAGATTTCAGCACTTTGAGTTAGACTTTTTTCCTCATGGCATTCAGTTTTCAAGAACTCCCTGGAAGGGGAGAAAAGCCTTTGCTTTCAGATTGTGTGGTAGACCTGTTTGTGTATTAATGATATTTGGGCAAACAGGACACTTTTAATTGTTGTCATTGATGGCCCACAACAGCCCCTCAGCTTTTATTTTATTTTTCCACTTAAATTTTTTGTTTTGAATACTTTAGTACAGCATTCTTGATGAGCTAATGGCTTTTTGGACTTTTATCCTATGACTTGGCAGCTTTCTTTTCATTCTTTGAATTCCTTTCAAGCGGTTACTCATTCCCATTCTAATTTTTATGACAGAAACTCTCTGTTATCCTGTATTATTTCTGAGAGTGTTGTGAGGGTACCACTCCCCAAGGAAAAAAATCCCAATTTAAGTTTAAGCCATTTTACTTTTAAGATATTTATTTTATATTTATAAACAGTACAAAATTGTGGCATGCTGATTATAAAATCAAATTGTAGGCTACTAAAACGTTGAGAATCAGCTGAGAGACTTATACTTAGTATTTCCTTTCAGGCTGGCTTCATGTGTAAATGCAATTTTCTTACCAGAAATCCTCCTCCCTTTGTATTTTCTATGCCTCCCATTTTACTTTCTTAATTTTAAAGAAAGGCATAGTAAAAGATTTATTACTGTATTCATGCACATAATTTTTCAGATAAGTCTCATGGTTAGTTAGCCTGGAAGATACACTTAATTTCCTTTATAAATAAATTTTGATTACTGTCAGTTGTTACTTTAGGGTCAGAATATTATAAATAGCTCATAGTTGTTGGAATTAGCTATTTTGTTTTAGCGTAACTTAAGATTAACACATACCTACATTTCAGACTCTAGTGATCTTGTATTTGCTGAGCTTTTGTGGAAATGTTAGGCAAAGGCTTTGACTAACATTTCTTTAAGAAGTTGTGGGATTTTTTTGGCTTGGAGATTTTAAATGTCTGGCATTGGGGGGGATACATTGTGTTATAGGAAAACATTATCATGAAGAATGAAGTAGAGAATAATTGACTTAGGTAATGGTTATGGAGTTTCCACTAGATTTGAATAAATGCTCTTTACTTGGCCAATGAGTCAGGACATTTTCCAGTTAGACCTAAGCCACATATATGTAGGTAGATACTTTCTTTCTGTAGTTAGCAAAATTTCACCAAGGAAATTCTGAATTAGAATTGGTCCTCAAACTTTAACATGCATCATAATCACCTTGAAGGTTTTATTTGTTTTTGTTTTTTAAAGATAATGGATGGCTGGGCGCCACCCCTAGAGTTTCAGATCTAGTAGGTTATGAGACCTAATAGGGTACAGTCAGGACACCTATATTTAATCAAAGAAACGCAAACGAACACCTCAGAACTGATTCTGATGTACATTCTAACAGAACTTATGAGCAGTAGTTCTCAAAATAATGGGCCTTGGCCTGGAAGATTGCTAATTCCATTCCTGGTCAGGGCACATGCCAGATTTTCAATCCCTAGTGGGGGGAATGCATGAGGCACCTGATTGATGTTCCACTCTTTTTTTTTTTTTTTTTTTTTTAAATAAAATATATTTTATAGATTTTTTTATAGAGAGAAGGGAGAGGGATAGAGAGTTAGAAACATCAATGAGAGAGAAACATCGATCAATCGATCGATCAGCTGCCTCCTGCACACCTCCCCTGGGAATGTGCCTGCAACCCAGATACATGCCCTTGACAGGAATCGAACCAGGGACCTTTCAATTGGTAGGCTGATGCTCTTATCCACTGAGCCAAACCAGTTAGGGCGATTTTCTACACTTGAATAGATGTTTCTTTCTTTCTCTCTCAAGATCAATTTAAAAAATCTTAAAAAAAAAAAAAAAAAGAGCCTGGGCCCAGCTGGCTTAGCTCAGTGGTTGAGCGTCAAACCTATGAACCAGTTGATTCCCAATCAGGGCACAGGCCAGGTTTTGGGCTCAATACCCAGTGTGGGGTGTGCAGGAGGGAGCTCAATCAATGATTCTCTCTCATCATTGATATTTCTTTCTCCCTAAGATAAATAATAAAAAAAATACATATTTATATAAAATGAACCTGGGAATAGCAGTATAGCATTATTTGAGAACGTGTTATAAATACATATTCCAACTCAGGTGGAACCCAGAAATTTATGCTTTAAATTGTTTAGCTCTCTAAATGATTCTGATGTGTGCTGAAGTTTGAGAACCATCTGGCAACTCAAAAGTGCCCTTTCTGATTGATATCTTTCTGGGCACTTACTAGAAATGCAAATCTCAGCCGTAGCTGGTTTGGCTCAGTGGACAGAGCATCAGCTGGCGGACTGAAGGGTCCTGGATTCAATTCTGGTCAAGGGCACATACTGCCATATCTCTACTGCAGGCTTGATCCCTGACCCCTGGCTCTGGTCAAGGCTCCAGATTGGGAGGCCACCCACAATGTGTCTCATATTGGTGTCTTTCTCTGTCTCTCCCCCTCCCACTCACTAATAACTTAATGAAAAATATCCTCAGGTGAGGATTAACAACAAAATAAATGCAAATTTTAGGACCTACCCAGATCTTCCCAAATAACAGAATCTCATTTTAATTAATTTCCCAGGCAGTTTGAATGTATATTGAAGTTTACGAGGGACTGCTCTAGATAATTAAAAAAACACACACATTTTTATTGATTTCAGAGAGAAAGGGAGAGGGCGAGAGAGAGAGAGAAACATCAATGATGAATATCATTTACCGGCTGTCTCATGAACACTCCCTACTGGGGATCGAGCCTGCAACCTGAGTATGTTTCCGTGACTGGAATCGAACCTGGGACCTTCCAGTCCACAGTCCAATGCTCTATCCACTGAGCCAGACCAGCTAGGGTTGCTCTAGATTATTTATTTATTTTTATTTAATTATTTAAAGAATTACATGTAGTACACATATATCCTTTTTTTCCCCCATTGACCTTCCCCAGCTGCCCCTACCCCTTGTTGCATGCCCTAATTTCTAGATAAATTTTAAAAGTAATGCTGATAAAATCCTCTGTGTGCTACATACATAGAAACACTGTATTCATTATTAGTTCTCACAACAACCTTGTAAGGATGGTTACTGTTACCTTTTTCTGCAAATGAGCAAATTGAAGCAGAGACTTTAAATATCTTGCTCAGTGTTATACAGGTTCCCATTTCTGGGTTTGGATTATGAACCTAAGCATTCAGAGTCTGTTTTTGGAGTTTGAGGTGTTATCATGGCCATTTATGTACATTTGTCTTCACTGTAGTATATATATTCAGTTTTAATGAATTTCTTGTATCTCATTTTACAGTGATACTTGCATTTTCTTCCAGATATATTGTTCAGGGACTGTTTTAAACATAAAAATAATCAGAACTGGAGTAGCTATGATTTGAATACTTTGATCTTTAAAAATAGGATGCATTTAAGTTTATTCATTGTGTTATTTATCCAAACTGTTATGCTCTTTATACACCTTGTTTTTGCATGTAATTTTAGAAAGGCTTTTATTTTATTTTATTTACTAATTTTAGAGAGAGAAAGGGAGACAGAGAGAGAGAGAGAGACATCTGAGAGGGAGGGAGGGAGGGAGGGAGGGAGGGAGGGAGAGAGAGAGAGAGAGAGAGAGAGAGAGAGAGAGAGAGAGGGGGGGAGAGAGAGAGAGACAGGGAGAGAGAGAGAGAGACATCTGTGTGAGAGGAACACTGATGGTTGCTTTCTGCATGTGCCTGACAGGGGATGGAACCCTGTTCTGTGTATGTGCCCTGAAGCTGACACTTTTGGAGAACTGGACCACACTCCAACTAATTAAGCCACACCGGCCAGCGCGGGGCATTTCTTAAAGTGTTTTGTGTACTGTGGTGTCAAATAAACAAACCACTTGGTTTAGTAAAAGAGGACTACACCCTAATTCAGCACCAGGAGGCCCCAATATGCTGAAATTACTTGATTTGGAGTTCAGGGAACACATGCAGATTTGTGTAACAACAGATCTGAATACTGGTGTTAATGTCAAGACAGGATAAGGAAAGAGCTGAGCATTCTGGTCACCATATTAGACATTTTTTAGGGAGGATTTCTGATTCATTCTTTTAAAAAAATATATTTTATTGATTCTTCACAGAGAGGAAGAGAGAAGGATAGAAAATTAGAAACATCGATGAGAGATAAACATCGATCAACTGCCTCTTGCACACCTCCACCTGGGATGTGCCCGCAACCAAGGTACACGCCCTTGACCGGAATCGAACCTAGGACCTTTCAGTCTGCAGGCCGACGCCCCATCCACTGAGCCAAACCGGTTCTGGCTGATTCATTCTTTTTGAGTGTATAA